AAAATATACTGGGATAGAAAGGTCAAACAACAGCAGGTAGTAAATCTTGATTATAAAACCCATTGGGCTAGAAAGGTCATCAACAGCAGGTTGTTGAATCTTGGCTATTGAAGGTCATTTATAACGTTCAAGGTTACAAACATGTTTTATCATATTCTTTCAACACGTTTACTTACAAACCTGTGAGTAAGGACAAATATTAATGTCAGAATATCATGATGAAATTCATAGGCTTAAGATGAAAGTTCATCTTTCCTTTCAGTGATTTTTTAGTTTCAACGACATATCTTGAAGGCACTTTTTAATGTTACAAAGCATGTTATGTATGTCAGATGGCTGTTGTTGTTGTTGTGTTTTTCCTTACGAAAAACGATGTCACAAATATATAAGTAGTTCTGTCTATATTTCAGGATATTAACCATATATTAATTTAATATATAGCATTACAAACGCTTATATTTGAAATGAGAACTGAAAATAAATACGCCCAGCTTCTCCGGGGGGGGGGGGATATAATGGTGAGAATGCAGCTCTGGTCAACACCATCTACTGCTAACTTTCGTCTGACTGAACAGAGAGATTTGACTGTCACTCTTATAACACATTCACATCCTCAAAGTGAGAAGCGAGATTTATTTTGGGAGGGTAACAGAATTAGAATCACGGAAAATCAGGTCCACAGTTCGCCATGGTAACCACCGGGCCCTACATAAAGAAAATTAATATTTGTACACTATCCTTTGACGACAGACAGTACACAACTTAGTTGTCAAATTTGTATGGAACTATAGACGATAAAGGTTTGCCTTTTACGAGTATCCTATGAAGATATTAATAGTTTTGTATGGGCATTAGCTGTCTTTGTCTTTCAAAAACGTTTGAATAATTTGCAATAAAAACTGAGCTAAATCCACTACGTGGAATTGTGTCTTGTAAAAACAATGGAAATAGTGTTAACAATACCTCAGTTGATTTACCACTCTCGTAAACATTGTGTTATACAGGCATGTGATGTCGTTCCTATCTAACTAGCGCATAAAGAGTAAAATAGTTATATTTCAGTCATGAAATTACATCTTTAAATGGAACTGTGAAGCAATGAAAATTAGAATATTTAGGGTAAAGAGAAAGACATTTTCAGCTGATTAAAAACAATCACAAAGGACAAAATGAATTTCATCAAATATAAGCAGACTTAGGCTTAATATTACTGGTTGTAATGAATATACATTATGTGATTTATTATACGATTATATAAATGTATATTTACATAACATATCTATAATTTTAGTAGACCAAAGAAAATAGTATATGTATATATATATTTAGGTTATGTAAAATGGCTCAGGGCAATGCTAAGCCAATTTTAATGTAAATTACTCATACATACAGCAATTAAATTTATTACCCTGTCTCCTAAACAAACCTAGATTGTGTTACTGTAATCCAATTGTGTAAAACATCTTAAAATTAACGTGTTACCTATTAAGTAATATTATTAGTATTTGGTTTTGATTGTTTGTGTTTAAGGGCTATATATTTATGCTTTGCCCACCACGAGTAACGAAACCCAATTTTTAGTGTATAAGCCCTTAAGTTAACCGCTGATCCATTGGAAAGCATGAATGTTTGGAAAGTTTAACAAAGGAATGGCGAATTTAATATCTATATTTTATCTTATATAGTTAGTAAAATTGGAGTCAAAGAACCTGTAATACTAAAATTCGGGTTTTGATACCTGCAGTGGACACAGTACAGATAGTCTTTGTGTAACTTTATACTTAACAACAAAAGAAAAAGAAACGTTGACTCTGCCTTAATTAAAGTTGCCTTGAGTTTTAAGCAACACGTAACAACAACACTGTGAGCCATATTTCTCGATTACTTTTTGAGTTTACGTATACCAATGTTTCTATTATCGAAATATATCTCATACACAGATAGAAAATTTCTCAAATTTCATTGGAGAAAAATACTAATGCAAAACATATTAATCAAAACTACTGTTAAAGATTTGGTAAAATAAATGATTTATTTCAGCACAAGATATAAGGTAATGTGTCGTGCGGCCAAAACAACACGCAGGGAACACTGTATGTAATTAACAGGAGTAATAGTTTAGTAATTTTTGTATCTCGGACTGTGGTAATCCAAGCTATTATATATTTTCAGTGGATATGCGCTACTGGACTCTTAATTCACATACCAAGTTTCAAGGCAATCAATTCAGAAGTACAAATACAAGAGAAATAAAATCTCCAATTGTGATTGATATTTTTTTCCTTTTTTTACCCACCATCATGCTCCAAGTTGAGCAAGATACGCGGCGTAGTTAACAAATGAATGAATATCCTTATCAACGCTATAAGTGTAGCTACAAGTTTGGCCACCAATACTGAGTTCATTCCTACAAGTCGCACACTCAATCCTTTTTTTTTTTCACACCTAAGGTGTGTTTGATTAGATTTAATCTATGTTATAAAGGAACTCGTTGTGAGTTTTACTGTACTTAATGAGTTTTAAGCTTTTCAAAACTAGTTATGTAAACACAAAAAATACGACATAGATATATGTATTATATATTTGATGAGAAAAGCAATACACTTTGGTATTTCATCTTAACTTTCATACTTTTAAAAGTGTTTTTATACCTCATTGTCTTGAGGAATAATCTCCGTTTTTATAAACTATTTTTTATTCGGTTTATTTTAGACAAGCTCATTGTCTTGAGGAAGAAGAATCTCCGTTTTTATAAACAATTTTTTATTCGGTTTATTTTAAACAAGCTCATTGTCTTGAAGAAGAAGAATCTCCGTTTTTATAAACTATTTCTATTCGGTTTATTTTAGACAGGCTCATTATCTTGAGGACGAAGAATCTCCGTTTTTATAAACTATTTTTATTCGGTTTATTTCAGACAAGTTTATTGTCTTGAGGAAGAACAATCTCCGTTTTTATAAAAAAAAAAAAAAATATTCGATTTATTTTAGACGAGCTCATTGTCTTGAGGAAGAAGAATCCATAAAAACGGAGATTCTTCTTCCTCAAGACAATGAGCTTGTCTAAAATAAACCGAATAAAAAATAGTTTATAAAAACGGAGATTCTTCTTTCTCAAGATAACGAGCTTGTCTAAAATAAACCGAATAAAAAATAGTTTCGGTTTTTATAAACTATTTTTATTCGGTTTATTTTAGACAAGCTCATTGTCTTGAGGAAGAAGAATCTCGGTTTTTATAAACTATTTTTTATTCGGTTTATTTTAGACAAGCTCATTGTCTTGAGGAAGAAGAATCTCGGTTTTTATAAACTATTTTTTATTCGGTTTATTTTAGACAAGCTCATTGTCTTGAGGAAGAAGAATCTCGGTTTTTATAAACTATTTTTTATTCGGTTTATTTTAGACAAGCTCATTGTCTTGAGGAAGAAGAATCTCCTAAACGTGATGCTCAACTACTTGATCTTATTTCAACAAAACATGATTTTTCAGGTGAGTGGATACTGACCTTGTTCAGGAGTGTATATTATTATTATTGTTGTCAGTGTTCACGTATGTTTGGTGGTGTTTTCAATGTTTGTGTTCGTTTGATGGTGTTTCTAGTGTTCATGTCGTTTTGGTTGTGTTTACAATGTTCGTGTTTTTTTAGTGTTCACTTTTTTGTGTGTTTCACGTGTTCAAGTCGTTTTGTTTGTGTTTCTTGTGTTCCCATCGTTTTGATGGTGTTTCCAGTGTTCACGACATTTTGATGGTGTTTCCAGTGTTCACGTCGTTTTGGTGGTGTTTCTAGTGTTCCCATCGTTTTAGAGATGTTTCTAGTGTTCACGACATTTTGATGGTGTTTCCAGTGTTCCCATCGTTTTGGTGATGTTTCTAGTGTTCACGACATTTTGATGGTATTTCCAGTGTTCACGTCGTTTTGGTGGTGTTTCTGGTGTTCACGTCGTTTTGGTGATGTTTCTAGTGTTCCCATCGTTTTGGTGATGTTTCTAGTGTTCACGACATTTTGATGGTGTTTCTAGTGTTCACGTCGTTTTGGTGGTGTTTTCAATGTTCGTGTTGTTTTTGTTGTTGTTGATGTTTTTAGCATTCATTTCGATTGTGTATATATGTATGTGTGTTTCCAATGTTCACTTCGTTTTGGTAGTGTTTTCAATATCAGTGTTGATTTTATGGTTCACTTTGGTTTGTTGTACTTCTTTTGTGTGTGTTTTCAATGTTCACTTCGTTTTGGTAGTGTTTTCAATATCAGTGTTGATTTTATGGTTCACTTTGTTTTGTTGTACTTCTTTTGTGTGTGTTTTCAATGTTCACGTCGTCTTTTAGTGTTTCAAGTGTTATCGTCGTTTTGGTGGTGTTTCTAGTATTCACTTCGTTTTGGTAGAGTCTTCAGTATTTGTGTTGTTTTGTTGTTCTTCTATTTTTTTCGTTCCCAGTGTTCACGTTGTTTTGGTTGTTTTCAGTGCTCACGTGCATTTCAGTAAAGAACTATTAAATTCTAAGTACCACTAAAAGTACATTGTAGCTTTACGTTAATTTCTTATTTTATTGTTTTTTAAACTGTTTCGTGAACTCTAAGATTATCCTCATTTAAACATTCATTATTTGATTATTAGTGCTAAGTAGATTTATAAAAAAAAACCCTAAAAGGTTCCAACTCCACAAAGTAAGAATGTACTACTTATGAATGACCAACTTTGGTATATTTTTCTTGTTTCATTTTAACCATTCTATACGTTTTTTTTACAAGAATTAATGTGAAAAACTTTACAAGATAGATTTATGTTCCAAACATTATATGAGCAAATAACATTGGATATTCAAAATATCTTTACTACACTATTGAAATTATAATACAGAGCTTGATGGCTTTATTTCTCTTCTAAGTTCTAGTTTCTTGTTTGATTGCAGGACCGCCGGATGTTACCCACATAAGTGCAAATTGGGGTCATCCTTTGACAGTGGAATTCCACCCACGGAATTATTCAGAGGAAGTCGTCCTTCGAATGGACAGAAAACCATTGTTAACTCCAGCAGAAACTATTCGAGTTACGATACATTTTCGACAACTATGAATTAAATTAATTTATATCTTAAAAATAATGTCAAGAAAACAAAGAGGACTTTTAACTTATAACTCCTCAAATTAGAACCAACTGATGAAGTCCATTGCTGATTAAATAAAGTGTATATAAATAATTTTATACATTTTAAATCACAAGTGGGATAGAACTTAAAATTTCTACCACGACGGTTTAGCTATTGTTTCGATTGTATTGTCATTTCACTGGTATTTTTCTATATTTAATAAACAAAGGTAATGCTCCTAATCGGTTCGACCTACATTTTCATACCATCTTCCTTATTTCAGTGGAGAGAAGGTGAAGGTGGGAGTGGAGAAAGAACAGCGGGAGAGGGGAAACCATCAACTTTTGCTGCTATTGAAAATCTCGACATAGACTATGAGAAGGTAAAGTGGACACCAAAGTCAGTAGAGATGCCGTCACTGCCGAGGATTGAAGAGGATGACAGTGGAATAACTACAGAAACTCCTTTGATTTGTGGTCTACTTGAAGTAGACAACGTAAGATAACTCCTTTGATTTGTGGTCTACTTGAAGTAGACAACGTAAGATAACTCCTTTGATTTGTGGTCTACTTGAAGTAGACAACATAAGATAAACTTTGATTTATGGTCTACTTGAAGTAGACAACGTAAGATAACTCCTTTGATTTGTGGTCTACTTGAAGTAGACAACGTAAGATAACTCCTTTGAGTTGTGGTCTACTTGAAATAGACAACGTAAGATAACTCCTTTAATTTGTGGTCTACTTGAAGTAGACAACGTAAGATAACTCCTTTGATCCTAACTTAGATGTTTTGTAAGTTGGACACCGAGTGAACACTCCAGACTGTGTAGTCAACATTTTAAATCAGAAAGGCCTAACTTAGATGTTTTGTAAACTGGACACCGAGTGAGCACTCCAGACTGTGTAGTTAGCATTTTAAATCAGAAAGGCCTAAGTTAGATGTTTTGTAAACTGGACACCGAGTGAACACTCCAGACTATGCAGTCAACATTTTAAATCAGAAAGGCCCAACTTAGATGTTTTGTAAACTTGTTCACTCGGTGTCCAACTTACAAAACATCTAAGTTAGGCCTTTCTGATTTAAAATGTTGACTACACAGTCTGAAATGTTCACTCGGTGTCCTTAGGCTTTTCTGATTTAAAATGTTGAGTACACAGTCTGGAGTGTTCACTCGGTGTCCAATTTACAAAACATCTAAGTTAGGCTTTTCTGATTTAAAATGTTGACTACACAGTCTGGAGGTTATATATTGTGAATTATGTATTTTAAACATAATGTCATTTGTCTTGAGACACCCAATAAAAAGGACACTTAGGAATAATAGGTTAGAAAAACACACGATGATCTTATAATGATAGATTTATTTATAGAATATTCAGCCTTAACTGGCGAGTGTTGATAACGGAAAGGATGATTCCTTTCTCTCACGTTTCATATTGTATTATAAAATATCAATTTAGTTATCATTTTCTGATGATCAAAGAATAGCACTAATTAATTAACTAGTTGATTAATTAAATAGTTATTTAATTAGAGGAAAGAAAAATAATGAACTCCTTTCATCTGATGATATGCCATCAGTTTTTTGGCCTTGTGGTTAGGGCGAAATTAATAAAACAAACAAATATAAAACCATCAGTGTTTGCACACATGACACCGCCAACTCTTGGGTTTCTCTTTTACCAACGAATAGTGGGATTGACCGTCACATTATAACGCCCTCACGGCTGGAAGGGAAAATATGTTTGGTGGGACGGGGATTCGAAACCGCCACCCGCAGATTGCGAGTAAAACGGGCCTAAACTCGAGAAAGAGCTCAACCAAACAATAGAAGACAATATATAAACTATAAGCATATTAATAATTAAAAAATAGAAGAAACAACATGAGATCCTGTACTGGTTGGATTACAGTTCGGTCAGAGGCATACATGTGTTTTAGTTCCAATCAGACAATGGTGTATCTTGTAACCTCTTCATTTGGTCTGAATTAACAGCTAGTGTTTAAAATATCATTTCTCTTTGCTACATCATTCGTGGATTGTGGATAATGTATGTAACAACATGAGATCCTGTACTGGTTTGATTACCGTTCGGTCAGAGGCATACATGTGTTTTAGTTCCAATCAGACAATGGTGTATCTTGTAACCTCTTCATTTGGTCTGAATTAACAGCTAGTGTTTAAAATATCATTTCTCTTTGCTACATCATTCGTGGATTGTGGATAATGTATGTACCATTTAGCCATTTAGGAAGATCCTCCTGGATATAGAATTCTGATATTTTCCAAATACAATTCAATGTTAGGAAAGATCTTCTCTATGTGTAGCTTATTGAATCTCATACTACAAAGTCAAATGAGTTTTCTCTGTTATATGCAACTGTGCCTGTATCTGGTAATGATACTGATGATTCTTTTAAGGTGCAGTACACCTAATTAATTTGGGCCAAGAAAAACATTTTAACTCTCAAAAATTTCACTACTGTATTTTTGCTAAAGACAAAATGAACATTTAATCTCAACGTTTGTTTATTCATAGTTAAGCACGAAGCTACACAATGGACTATCTGTGCTGTGCCCACCACGGGTATCGAAACTCGGTTTTAGCCTTATCAGTCGGCAGACTTACCGCTGTGTCACTGGGGGGGGGGTGTTAATTTCAATGGCTAATTTCTTAACAACAGCTAAACTTGAGATGCACTAAGATGTGGAAAAAGAAGTTTGACATCTAGCCAGAATCCGATATAGTAGCGTTTATTTGGGCCTTCTTCATATGATTTTCATAAACGCTTCTTGCTGTTTTTTTCATGTTCATATCTCCACCTGAAAGCAAAATACATAGCATGTAACAAAACATGTTTATTCTCTGTTAGAAAATAATCTCTTCACACAAAAATATTTTACCGTATACAAAACCTTATACATCTTGCATATTGTTATATTGATACAAAATATTTTATTAATGTTTACAAAACTATGATGCAAGGTAAGTCGAATTATCATACATGCTCTGCGTGTTTGACTGAGTGATCTACAAAGCTAAACACATACAGTTGAAATTCCCAGTGGTGTTTGACAACTGCAAAGAACCTTTTGTCTCCATGTCCATAACAAATGTAAGATGTGTATAAATTTCAAGCACAGTGTAATGACCCTAGAGTCCTAGACTATAATAATGAGCAGGACACTGAATTACATGTAACAAAAGTGCAACCAACACCCAAATCAGTGAAAATAAGATAATATATCAATATTACATGGCAGCATACATATCCCTACAAAATCCTGAGCCTCCCAAGTCCTGCCGTACAGTAGCAGTGAGTAGTCAGAATTACCCAATTCTTCTCACCAATTACCAAGATTATTTCAGGATTTTCATATATTCTCTGTGAATGTAATACCTAGAGACAGCGTGAAAGTAATAATTACTGTTTAAAATTATTTTACATTTCTATCAATACTAAATTATGTACTTAATGTACTTTTGGATTATAAGGAGCAGCACTAAGAGGCTCTGAGTATGTGAATAAATAAACCTCTGTCCTACCATCCTAAAGAAATGTTAATAACAGTTTATGTCTATATTCCCTTCCTGTTGATAAATCAACATATAGTGGTATTTCTATGAACTAAATACATACTGCACAAATGAAGATGCCTGAGTGTAAAGATAACGAACGTTAATTAATATATAAAAAAATTACTTACCACAAAAGTGATAATGAATCCGTTTGTTCTGAAAGAGACGAACACTTACTTTCTTCACCCACCAAGAAGGAAAATATTTATATTCATCTAGGTTTTTGTACGTCTTTAGAGACTGACCAGAATAGCTGCCTGGGGTGTTGACCAAGTGATAGTAGATATCTGAGTTTGCGATAGATGGAAGTTCTGGAGTGGGCTTCGTCTCTGATGGACTAATAAGATACGGATCTGCTTCTACACAGAACATTTTCTAAGGATATCGCTCCTTAGCCACGCGATAAGTTATAGACGAAATGAACCTTCTACCTGGTTAACACTGTCACGGTAATCACCAAGATGGTAGCATAAACAAAAGTAAAGAACGAGTGACATCATCAGGTAGCGATTAAAGTGAGTCTAGTCCCGGCACAGTACCATCCTCCAACTAATGAAATTGATAAATAAAAACAATCATACCAGCTATATGGAACCCGGAGCAAAGGCTAACGAAAATAATATTATCAGGTAATTTAAAGTGTGTGGGGAAATTGCGACGAGGATACGCGAAAACTGGTCTTCGCCGAACAAGATTGAAATTGCAGCTTATTGTCGACAATAAGGAGGATCTTTTCGTTTGTTTGTTCAGTTATCAAGCAAAGCTACTCAAGGGCTATCTACGCTAACTTTCACTAATTTTGAAGTGATGGACTAGAAGGAAAGCGGCTAGTAAACACTACCAACCGCTAATTCTTGTTTAGCTTTCAAATAGGGTGTGAACATGAAAATACTGAAAGAAAAAAGAATACTAGCTGCTTTGTCAGTCAACCCTCTATTGTTTGTAGTTGAACACAAAGCTACACAATAGACTACCTGTGTTGTGCCCAACACAAGTATGAAACCCAGTTTCTAGGGTTACAAGTTCATAGACTTACCGTTGTGCCACTGGGAGGCTTTTGCACATCTTGCCACTTTTATGATGCTGGAAAAAACAAGATACAAGGTATATTTCAAATACAATTTTATTGACAAATGAGTAGTTAAAATGGTGTACTGTTTGTATTTTAATGGAGAAATAAAAAGTATTTATTGTATGCGTTAGCACATCTGATCCTGTTTTTTTTTTCTTCTTCATATTAGTTATTCTGTTATAACTGTCTTTCACTGCTAAATTAGGGACGGCTAGCGCAGATAGTCCTCGTGTAGCTTTGCGCGAAATTGAAACCAAACAAACTCTCGAATTTGTTTATGCAAATTGCTAGCCCACTGTTAACTATAACAATAAAGTACATTTCACAGTAGCTATAGTAACATAAATCAGCCTGAAATGTCGTGGTAATGAGATGATCATGTGTTGTATTTAGTCAATAATCATACAATACTGAATTATAATCTTCAAAAGTATAAAAGTGAAAATATGTTTATTTGTTTCAACAGTTTTGTTGGATTTCGCGCTAAACTACGTGAGGACTATCTTCGCTAGCCGTTCCTAATTTTGAATTGAGAGACTAGAGGTAAGACAGCTAATCAACGTCACCCACCGCCAACTCCCGGGCTACTCTTCTCACAACGAAAAGAAAGATTTGACTGTCACTCTAACAAGTCACACATGACCCCAAAATTTCTGACAAATTTTAATTTTTTCCCCACAAATCCTGATAATTATGTGTCTGTTATTCTGTACTTAGAATGAAAGATTTGTTTCAAGGGTGTAATTACTCCTAGATGTGCTTCAGAAAATACCAAAGTTTTCTTGTAAACCTTGCGTCTTTGGAGAATAATCTACAATAGTGTACGAACTTAAAGTAAAAACTTATTGTTCTTAGTTTGCTGTGTGCCATTTTTCAATGAAAGTACAATGATTAAGTTCATTCAACGGCATTGGTTACAATTTTATTTCAACTTCATACTTTATATCAATAATGAGGCTAATAATACAGTGAAGCAATCATACACTTCCAAGCATCTCTTAACCTTGTCATATGTAATGAATTCAACCTCATTAACAAGTTCAACGTGATACCATTCAAACCGACATAGGCAAGTAATTTAAACCATCACGACATGCGAAATGTAATCATGATGATACATGTGCGGTAGATACTGTATTACAGAGCAATGCCTGGATTTTCTCTGCCCTTGACTAAATCTTTACACAAAAGAGGGTGTAGGCAATCACAATCTCGATTATACAAATGTAGGTGACACTTGGATAAGTGCTTTCTGATGTATATGTCTACGGGGAGAGTTTTATTTGTGCTCTCCCGCTGATATAACTCTATCTCTTGATGCTAAAGTCAAAGGTGGGATAAAGCACAATCTGTATGTCTAATTATCGGCGAAATATCTGTTGAATCTCGATGTGCTTCTTACAATAGAAAATCTAATCTCCAAACTAGTATACTTGAATCTCTCTAAAGCTGAATCTCACTAGAACCTCTATCTACATCTCAAGCCTAGCTAAGCCCTTGAAAACAAAGGAAAATATATTAATATATACAAAGTTCTTTCTCCCCAGGCGTACACTTTAACCCCGGTAAGAGGTGGGGCATACCCTCGGGCAAATCCAAGGTCCGCCGCCAGAACAAACCACTGCCTCTATTCATACCAGAGTGATCTCTTCTAAAGGAAAAAATAACACATGTCACGACCTTGGCGACGATAGAAACTTAACAGTTCTAATGACTAATAACATACTCTGAAATACAGCTGAAAATTTGAAAAATTGTCTGTCAGCTAAGGCGGGGTAGAAAACGTAGGATATGCCCGCATATAACACATGCATGCATTCAAAACATGAAATTAAGTAGATATTACTGTTAACCTGGGCACTAAATGACTCTTACCTTGTATTAAATGTGCAAGACTCTAAACTAGAAACTTCTATTAGGTCGTCAAGAAATTAATGTCACTTTTTTTAGATGAAAAAACCCGAACAACTTATATATTAAAACAAAG